GCCGGGACCCCCTCGGAGTAGGAGAGATGAGGAGCGTCAGCCGGGACCCCCTCGGAGTAGGAGAGATGAGGACCCACCTCAGGAATGGCTGCAACAGGAGTCTTTAGAGTCTCTATTTCTGTTAACAAAAAATCATACTCGGGGAGCAAAGAAAGGCCTGGGATAGAAAGGAAAAATCCTCCATCTGGGTCAAAACTAAATCAAAGGAGGACGGGTTTCTTCTAGCAGAACTAAATAGTTTAAGAACTGTCTGATTAATATGAAAAATATCCTCAGGGGGAAAAAAAGGAAGGTCAGTATGAGTGGGTGTGGTGATGGGTGCCACCCCCACCGGAAACCTGGAAGGTGAGGCGGCGGGACACGCTCCCACGGTGTCACAATGAAAACTCTCCGGAGATACGGCCAGGCTGGGTCGAACAGCTGCGGCGCGGAGTGGCGGTGAGAGGCCGGGTTCCGCCCCCACTAGGAACCTGGAAGGTGAGGCGACGGAACCCGCCCCAATGACGTCAACCGGACCGGACTCACCGAATCGAGCAGGAGTGGACCGGAGCTCCCGTGGGACGCCGGATCTCACCCCCACCGGAAACCTGGGAGGTGAGGCGGCGAACCCCGCTCCCACAAAAACACCGGAACCAGCTCTGAAGTTCTGCTCGGCCGAAGAGACCGGCCCGGCCGCCGCAGACTGCCTCCGGAACCGTCCACCGCGGCGGCGGCGGGACGGTGGATGGACGGAGACGGAGAGGAGCTCGTCCATCAGGGCACGAGGAGGGAAAAAACAAAAATGGGTGAGTGTTGCCGAGTGAGAACCCTGCCCGCTGGGTTCTGTTCTGGTCGGGTCGTACTGTTAGGATTTGTGTCAGGAGCGAACGCAGAGTGCAGAACAGGGACTCAACTCGGCAGATGTACAAAAATAGGTTTTTAATGATAAATGAAAAGTACAAAATAAACGAGCTGACGGGGCAGCAAAACTTACATAAACAAGGAAGGAGGCACGGGGAACTCAAGAGACACGGGGAACTCGAGGGACCAGGAAGACAAGGAGAGACTCAGGAGACCCAAGGAAGCGTACCCAACGAAGACGACCCGACGAAGAACAAGACAGAATAGGATGACTTAAATACAGGGAGAAGACGAGACATGATAACAAACAGCTGGGACGAGACACAGGTGGCAACAATGGAAACTAATGAGGGAGCACGAGGGAAACAGACACACCGGGCCACAGAAAAGTAACATCCTTACAAAAACATTGAACATCAGCACAAACATGAACATGAGTCTGTGAGCAGATGTGCACGCATGAACACATCAACATTGAAACAGATCAGCAGCAACATGATATGGTTTTTCAGTGATTATTCTAGTTAGAGATTCACGAGTCTAACAGCCTCAGGGTAGAAGCTGTTCTTCAGTCTAGTGGTTCAACACTTAATGCTCCTTAACCTCCTTCCTGAGGGGAGTGGAGCAAAAAGTGTGTGTGCTGGGTGAGTGGGGTCCTTCATGATGCAGGTGGCCCTCTTCCTGCATCCGGAGGTGTAGATGTCTGTGATGGTGGGGAGGCTGATTCCGACAGATTTCTGTGCAGCCTTCACCACTCTCTGCAAAGCTTTTCTTTCTGCAGCTGTGCAGCCTCCATGCCACACATTGATGCTCGAGCACAGGATGCTCTCCACTGCACACCTGTAGAAGGAGGTGAGGACTGAGCTTCCCAGACCAGCTCGCCTCAGCCGTCTGAGGAAGTAGAGTCTCTGATGAGCTTTCTTGATCAGGCTGGTGGTGTTGTTGCTCCAGCTGAGGTTGTCATTCATGTGTACACCCAA